TGTCAGGTGTCTGGGTGTTGGGTGTCTGGGTGTTGGGTATCTGGGTGTCAGGTGTCTGGGTGTTCAGGTATCTGGGTGTCTGAATATCTGGCTGGGTGTCAGATGTCAGGTGTCTGTTGTCAGGTGTTTGGGTGTCTGGGTGTCGGGTGTCTGGGTGTCAGGTGTCTGAGTGTTGGGTGTCAGGTGTCTGGGTGTTCAGGTGTCTGGGTGTCTGAGTATCTGGCTCTCTGGTTGTCTGGGTGTCAGATGTCAGGTGTCAGATGTGAGGTGTCTGGGTGTTGAGTGTCTGGGTGTCATGTGTCCAGGCGTCTGGGTATCAGGTGTCTGGGTGTCCGGGTGTTTGGTGTTTGGGTGGCAGGCTGGCAGGATTTCTGGGTGGCAGGGCTGGCCTTTCCAGTGGAGTCTGGCCCAGGGAGGGCTGCGGGCTGCTGGTGGGTGAGGTAGCTCTGAGGATACCTGGGTGCAGGGACCCAGTCATTGTAGGAAGAAACCATCCGCTCAGGGTCAGCTATTAACCTGCTCGGGTGTTGCCGTTCCCAGGCAGACGGTGCGTTTTAGCTGGATGACTGCTTTGTGTCTCTGTGCTGAGATGTCTGATTGGAGGGAGGCAGGCCTGGCTGCTGTGTGCAGAGCCGGGAGGCCGCAGGGCTGGGGACACGGCCTGGCATCCGTGGTGGGAGGCGCCCTCTGGCGGGCCAGCCGGGCACGACCTTCCTCCCCCTCTCCTTGTCCCCGCCAGGCCAGGCTCAGATGGCGGCTCTCAGGATGCCGTTTTGTGTGTTCCCAACGGGAGGGTGCAAAGGCCACCCTGAGGCTTTCCTAAGCTATGGACAGAGCATCAGCTGTGTCTCCTGAAACCTTTTCGCATATAAAACAGAATATCTCTCAATCCAAACCATCAACATATGGCAATTAAGAAATGCAGGACTCATCTAAGCCGTGCAGACGAGGGCATTGCCTGATGTGCCTTCAGTTGGCTGGAGGAGAGAAATGGCTTTATTAGCTGGAAGAGGCCTCTAGGACCACGATGACAGCCACAGGTCAGCAGGCCGAGCTCGGGCCCGGCCAGCTGCATCACAGCCTTGGCGTCAGCTGTGGGTGCCCCCAAGTCCCGGCAAAGGAAGGAGCTGAGAGGTGGTTTTCTAAGCTGTAGACGTGGTGGCTGTAAATTTTATTTTTCTGGGTTTTAAGAGAAGGAGTTTACTCATTCTTGTTAGGCAATTAAGCAAATGCAAGTTTCATATCTAGGAGATATCTATTGTACACCAATAAATGAGTAAAAATAAATACAAATGACCAAGCCTACAGCTGGCAGGGCTGCGGGAAAGCAGTGTACACATATGCACACACGCACATGCACACACACACATGCACACACAAGGGGCGGTACATAGCGATACAGTATCTTGGGAGAGTGATTTGATGAAAAAAAAACCACAGGAACTATCATATATATCTTTCACTTCAGAAAAAACATTCCAATAAAATAATTCAAGTGGGAAAAATTAAAGATATTCATAGCACCGCTGTTTATAATAGCAGGAAAAAAGAAAGGAAAGAATTCCAATTCTGAACACAAGGGAAATAGGTAGACTATGTATGTGAGCAAAGTGCTGGAATCCTAATAGCCAAGTATAATGGACAGAGAACAGGGCTGGGCATGTGACATTCCGTGGATGTCCCCCCCCCCACACACACACACATTTATTTACCTTACCACAATTTCATGCTTCAGTGCTTGGAGGGAATAAGACAGAAAGAGGGATTGCAGGCTGGGTGTGGTGGCTCACACCTGTAATCCCAGCATTTTGGGAGGCTAAGGTGGGTGGATCACCTAAGGTCAGGAGTTTGAGACTAGCCTGCCCAGCATGGTGAAACTCCATCTCTACTTAAAAAAAAAATTAGCTGGGTATGGTGGTGGGCACCTGTAATCCCAGCTACTTGGGAGGCTGAAGCAGGAGAATTGCTTGAACCCAGGAGGTGGAGGTTGCAGTGAGCCGAGGTCACACCACTGCACTCTACCCTGGGCAACAGAACAAGACTCCATCTAAAAAA